GATTTTTTTAGTTCTCAGGCTCCTCTCCTGTGGAACCAACTACCAGTTTTAGTCCGTGAGGCAGACACCCTGTCTACTTTTAAGGCTATGCTTAAAACTTTCCTTTTTGATAAAGCTTCTAGTTAGAGTGGCTCAGGTTATCCTGAGCTATCTCTATAGTTCTGTTGCTATAGGCTTAGACTGCTGGAGGACATAAGGGTTCCTTTTCATCATTTTGCCTCATTCTATCTCTATTCTCCCACTCATGGAGATAAATATCAGCTGTGCTGCTGCCATCAACACCTTTTTTTCTGGATGTTGGAGCTTTGCCGGTTTTTCAGTGCAATCCTGTTTCTCTGACTATGATGGGCTGGATGTGCTCTCTTTTATCCTCTGACCTGACTGTGTGTTTCCTGGACTGGACCTTTACAGTTGCCTTTTGTATCTATGCTTCTTTTTCTATGTCTGCTTCTGTCTCCTTGAACCCCAGTGGGCCTCAGCAGATGGCCGCTCACACTGAGCCTGGTTCTGCTGGAGGTTTCTTCCTGTTAAAAGGAAGTTTTTCCTCTCCAATGTCGCTATAAGCATGCTTGGTGTAAGGGATTGCTTTCGAGCCAATGAGTCGATGCAATCAACTGGTTTTCCTTTGATAGAAAACTTAATCAATTTGACTGTATTATCTGGTTGAATTGGCTCTATGTAAAGGAACTGAATTGAACTGAATGTAAGAAATTAAATGTTTGGTCTGCAGGAAATACTACTGGTAAGTCACAATTAATTTAGCGACTGGAATACAATGGTGGACAGAGGGAGTTTTAGAGCGGTTTGTCAACATGCTAATCCGGCACATTAGTAAATTAAAGCCCAGTGGTAAAAGTTATAGGTTTGTGCCTCAGATTTGTTAAGCTGTAGAAGAGAGGAGGGACTATGAGAAAATTAGCATTATCACAAATTTGATACTTTAATCAGGACATGGTACAGTTTTAAATTTAAATGTATATCAGTGAATAAAAGTTATAAACTACAGCTTTAATGACTGAAGAACAACAGTAAGCTGTTTAATATAGAGTTTAAGGATTTAAATCCAACAGACTATCTAAAAACATTCATGTTCAAATTTTAAAGAAAACATCATCTGCTAATAAACATCTGGTGTAGATTGGACATCAAACTCTGTGTGACACCACGCCATAGCAGATATTAGGCATTTACAATCAAAATAAGAGATTATTAAGTTTGTCAGCTTTCTCAGCCAAACAGTCCGAGTTCAAAATTCATGTTGCAACACAAAGGTTGTTGGTTAAGGCAGTCATTTGCATTATTTTAAGTTCAGCTCCAACTCATTGGCGGATGATTCTCCATACTCAGGGGGACTCCAGAGAGTCCGCTGACACATCCAAACAAAGCTCAAAGTTTAGGGCTACATATATGTACTTGGTGACACCCAATAAACCACTCATTAGAAAGATACTGCACATGTGGAAAAAAAGTATTTGCTTCACACTTACATTTTGAGCTATAGACCTATTTTTGGCTTGGTAAATATCGTGCCATTTCTGTGGGCGGAGCATAGCTGGAGGAAGAAAGATTCTTCTTAGCTCCTTAAAATGGTATCAAACAAATTCTGCTAGCTTGGTTTTGTTTTGTTTTTTTTAATAAGGGCAATTTTTCTAAATATCTATGTTTATTGACTTTCCTAGACTCTGGATAGTTATTTAAAAAGCTATCTTTAGCAGACTGAACCACATCATTCGATCTATACACTCTCACTCAGTGGCTGGATAATCTGACAGTATTATATCTGGTTGAGTGCCATGACATTTAGACTTAGCTAAGTGAAATATGTATGGTAAAAAGAAACAGAGGCCAAACCTAACTGGGAAAATGCCAGAAAATGACCATGTAACAGACTAGGGTCATTGTAAACTGAAGAAACATCTATGGTCTTGATGGTGACCTGCACATGCATGGGCAGGTGAGTAAAGTTACATAACCAGACCTTAATCCATACCAATGAAAGCCAATATTTCATTTATCATAACTTATCTGGTATGAAATGTGCACAGCATATGCAAGCATGTTTGATGACCATCTCTGTCCCGACCCCTAATTTTATTGTGTTTAATCCAAGGTGCTTTCTTTCCTAAGGTCTGGCAGCGGCAGCAAGTATGGGATGAAGTTCCAAATTGTCTGTGCCCTGTCAACTTTGACATCCAACAACACAAGATGCCAATTTAAACTGGTTTGATAGCCACCTGTGCTCGTTTTTTCATTGGCCATCTCTAGCTGTCGGGTTTTTTTGCCTCTATCTAAAGTGCTCATTATGCTTAATGCATGGACAGTCCATGTGGGATATAAGCCACCCATCACATTTATACCCTGTGAGGGTTTCCCTCTGTTCTGAAAGGCTCTGGGGGGGGGGGGTATTTAGCACAAACAGCAAGCTGACAACCCCACACTACATGAAACAGTAGAAAACACAGCTGTTTACAACTGTATCAAAGTCTCTTCATGCCATTCAAGAGCGACAGAAATTTCTTTCCTGGAGTTTTTCCACAATGTGTTGCTAGAGGTGATATTTCTGAGCTAAATCATGTGATGTTTTTAGATGTTTACATTTGTGAGTCCCCGCGGAGGGCTGTGGAAGACCAAAATGATGAAATTTGGCCATGTGGACCTCAGGAACGCATCAAGCATTAACCAAGCTTAACACAATTCTTTACGTGTGACTTCACCAGAAAAAGGGACAACAGGAGTGTAAAGATGTAGAATATGATACGTTCAACTTTGAAATCTCAAATATCCACCAAACATGCACTTCTGCTTACAGTATTCTTACTATAGGTCCACCTGTGTAGAGGCCTTTAGCCTGATTTATACTTCGAAGCTAGGTTGTCTCCGTATGTTTCGCAGTGAAAACAGAGACGTCCCCGCCCCCTCCGCAGACACTATGCTTCACCTCTCCAAACTTGTAGGTGACTGCAGACAGGAGGCCTCTGATTGGTCAAATCAACATCCGCTCTACTCTTTGCGTATTTCCTGTTTGGTACCTTACCAGCTCTATTTGTTTGTATGACCGCCATTGTGGAAAACAACTTGTGAAGATGGACCAGCTAGAAGAGCGAGGTGCGCGAGAACACTGGGACCCTTTTTCCACCTGGATCCCCGCTTTTTTTCGGTCTTATGTCCCTCCGTTGTCAGACAAACTTGCCCCCACTTCCTCACCCCCTCGGCCGTATCTAGACCCACAGCTAGTTCCTGATTGTCCCTCTTGCATTGCTGCGTGGAATCACATATCACAGACCCTGCTTCAAAATTGGGCATAAATCAGAAATATCTTGCGACAAGCTCACTGCCAGAAACTGCTGCAGGGAGTATAAACAGCCCTCTAGGGCTCCAGACAAGGAATAAACTTTGGGATTTTTGTGCAGACTATTGATTGTAAAACAGTTTTAAAGACTTGTTTAGATTTTATCTCTGTTGATTAAAGGTGTCACAGTTGATCAGGCATTTTGAGACAGTTTCAACCAACATAACTTTGCAAAGAAACATGGACATAGTCCAGCTGAGAAAAGAGTGACAAACTTAGACTTTTGTGAAATAGCAAATGTATTAATTTCTTCACCACTATCTATTTACAACACTACCAGTGCATGAAGTGGATAAAACCATTTTTAGTTTGGGTGCAAACTGCTAATTAAATGCTGGCTAGCTGACTAGTTGTTACCACTCCCCTCCTCTGAAGATCACCTACTCTTCTACAAACCCAGTTGCATTATTCCACAGGTAAGGGAAACATTGTTCAAAATGTTATAGAGATTATTTTTAAGAAAATCTAACCTATACCACGGTCGGCCTCAGCAGATGGCCGCTCACACTGAGCCTGGTTCTGCTGGAGGTTTCTTCCTGTTCAAAGGGAGTTTTTCCTCTCCACTGTCGCTACAAGCATGCTTAGTGTGAGGGATTGCTGAAGAGTCAATGAGTTGATGCAATCAACTGGTTTTCCTTAGATAGAAAACTTTTAATCAATTTGACTGTAGTCAAACTGATTTGAGTTGACGTGTTGTGAATTGGCGCTTTATAAATAAACTGAATTGAATTATACGTTTTACTTTAGGCAGTTTCCTAAAGGTGATGTGGTTTTTTTAAAGAAATTTCCTGTAGTTTCTATAAAGGTCCTTATAAACACTGCATTTATTTTTAATCCACATGGAAATTTCTTATACCATTGTAATACAATAGTCATTATGCTAGGCCATGATGTAGCGCTTTGATGCTAAATTATAGCAGATTTATGGTGCGTTTTTCTAAGCCTGATGTACCTGGAGTCAAGAGATGGATTTGAAGTTTTCAGAAGTTGCAGATTGGTTATCTATACAGAAAAAAAAGGCGTGGTGTTTTAGCTTGTCTTTTTTACTCTGAAGCTGATTCCAGATTTTAAAAACTTTGTTACTCACGGCTTCCAACGCAAACAGCATTTCCACAACTAAAAGATGTAAAGCATGGGAACATTCGCTAACATTGTTCCCATTTGGTATGCTGTGATCGTAAATATAGGTTTGGTTTTATGTGTTTCTTTTTTTTAATAGAAATGCAGTATGTTTATGAGATGTGATTAGACCGATTAAATCAGTGAAATAACACATGCTGCATGTAACACTGCTCACAGGAACCCCCTTTTTACAGCTGCTACATGTATTACTTTATACATTAGATAACAGGGTAAATGTAGAGGGCGGACTCCTCTGAACAGCATCAAACAAGTCTATGAGTCACTTTTTCTAACATACAAAATGTGTGGATTTAACTGGATGTGTTGATTAATTTAATAATGTATCATCACCATAGCTACTTCTTGCATTGCTACTAAGAATAAAGAAATAAAAAAACAAGAAATCAAGTTTTGTTGAAGGTTACATGTCACCAAAAAAACAAGACAAAATTAAAGTTTGCTATAATGTGTTTAACTGATTTCTCACAATGCTAGAAAATCATCATAAACTCTTTGCTTTGCATTTTAACCTTCTTTGAGCCAAAAATGCAGTTTAACCTTATCAGACCTTGAGATACAGGTACTGTAAGACTGTGGCGCTTCTTTAATAGGAAAGCACTCATGCTAGACATAGAGTGATGGTTTATGTGATTCTGGAGTGACTGGAATTACCTGTAGAAGAGCTGGAAGGTAAATACTTAAAACAACAGCCTTTTTTTTTTTTTTTTTTCGCTAAAACACTTGAACCAAAACACCACTTACAGAAGCCAAGAAGAGTGAGGTGATGTCTAGTTACATCGCTTGGTGCCCGACTGACCTCTACAGCTTTAGCAGCAAAAGCTCAGCACCAAGATACAACCAAAGTGTGGAAGAATGTTGCACAGATTACTGCATTAATCTCATCCATGTCTGTGAAACCAAGCCCCCAATCTTTCACACATGACTCTATTTATTTCTCCAACAAATACTTCAAACATCTTCTTTCCTGATTTTTCACACTGCAGAGCTGGAGACCTGGAGCCAGCCCACGTCAGTGTAGGCCCCCGTCACGTGCCAGTACAGCGCCCCCATCAGTTTGGTCCAAACCATCTGCACTTCCACTGTGAAGAAATCTGGGAAGTCTTCTGACAGCACCTCCAGGATCACTCCGCTCAAGATCTGGGTGAAAGAAATATATTTTTAAATTTGGGTGAGGGGGGAAAACAAAGCCAGGGTTTACAGAAAAAAAAAATTGCATATTTTACAGTAGCAGCCATTCAAAATGGTCCTTCCCAGCCGAATGGCAGCCAACTTCCCGCGAAATCCCAGCAATATCCCCTCCAACTTACAACCACTGGAGTGACCTCGTTATATTTTTTTTTTTATGTGACTCGACCCTTTTACTGAATTACGGTAAATTAAGATCTAAAGAATCTTTATCTCCTCAGTTTACAGCTGTATAAGAGGACCCTTTGTAAAGCAAGAGCAGCATACTTCTCCTCTTTAATAGAGGAGAATAAGAATAATCCTAGATTTCTTTTTAATACAGTTGCCAAACTCACCCAGAGCCATAGCTCTGTTGAACCGTCCATTCCACCTGCTCTTAGCAGCAATGATTTTATGGGATTCTTTATAAATAAGATTGATCTTATTGAAAAATAAGATCATAAGCACTCCTCTATCCGTGATTGTATCTGAGGTAGTCATGGAATCTGAACCGGGTTTAGACTGCTTTGATCCAGTTGAACTTTCAGAGTTAGCACAATTATTGTCTTCATCTAAGCCTTCAACTTGTATGTTAGATCCAGTTCCAACCAGGTTATTTAAGGAGGTATTCCCTTTGATCTTCTCCTCCATTTTAGATGTGATTAATCTATCTCTGTTACAGGGATATGTACCTAAAGCTTTTAAGGTTGCTGTAATTAAACCTCTGCTTAAGAAACCGTCTCTTGACCCAGATGACTTGGTCAATTATAGACCTATATCCAATCTTCTTTTCTTATCTAAAATCCTTGAGAAAGTAGTTGCCAAACAAGTTTGCGATCACTTACACCATAATGAACTTTTTGAAGAGTTTCAGTCTGGCTTTAGAGCTCATCATAGCACTGAAACAGCTCTGGTGAAAGTCACTAATGATATTCTCATGGCCTCAGATAATGGACTTGTATCTGTGCTCGTTCTGTTGGATCTCAGTGTTGCATTTGATACAGTTGACCATAATATTCTTTTAGAAAGACTTTTTTGGGGGGAATTATTGTTATTAAAGGATCAGAACTAGACTGGTTTAAATCGTAACTATCTGATCAATTTCAGTTTGTTCACGTTAATGACAAATCTTCCTCATGCTCAAAGAGTACCTGTGGAGTACCACAGGGATCAGTAATAGGACCAATTCTCTAGATGTTGGAGATCTGCCTGTTTTCCAGTGTAGTCCTGTTTCTCTGACTGTGACTAACTGGATGTGCTCTCTTCATCCTCTGACATGGGAGCTAGCTCGGAGCTCGTCTGCCTGGCTGTGTGTTTCCTGGACGGGGCCACCTTTTACAGCTGCTTTTTGTATCTATGCTTCTTTTTCTATGTCTGCTTCTGTCTCCTTGAACCCCAGTGGGCCTCAGCAGATGGCCGCTCACACTGAGCCTGGTTCTGCTGAAGGGTTCTTCCTGTTCAAAGGGAGTTATTCCTCTCCACTGTCGCTAAAAATATGCTTAGTGTGAGGGATTGCTGAAGAGTCAATCCATCAATGTAATCAGTGGTTTTCCTTAGATAGAAAACTTTGAATCAATTTGACTGGATGATCTGGTGAACTGGAAAGTTCCTTGAGATGACATGTGTTGTCTGTTTCTCGATTAACAAGAATGCAACACGGCCTAGGTTTAGCAGTTTTTCAGATGGGCCAGTTAGAATGTAATCAAAATGGGGGATAAAATCCATTAAAAATAGTTATTTAATGATCTTTAAAAAGGTTTGCCAGTAAAAGACAAGGGTTTAAAAGTTCTTCTTTTATCATAAAACAATGCAGTCCAGGTTTGAGGGGTCGAGGTGTTGAAGTTCTTGACTGGGACCAGTTTAAATGTGTTCAAAATGCAATAAAATCAATTACCATAATTGTTTACTGGTCTTTAAAAAAATTTAAAAAAAAGATCACAAGTCAAACTATCAGTACAGAGCAATGCATTTCAGGTTTGAAGAGTATAGGTGTTTGAGTTTATGACCTAAACCAGCGTGAATGAGACCAAAAAAAAACTATAAAATCAATTAAGACGGTTCTTTACTGGGGCTTGAACCAACAACCCTCCAGTTGCAGGAAAACTCCTGCATCTAACGCACCACATAATTGTCAATTCTGGAGAATGTCTCGAAGGGTGGTTCTGTCTCCAGAACTCAATAAAATTAAATTATTTAATACACTGTAGCAGCTCTCTTCCTGTTGATTTTTGGAAGCATCAGATCCAGCAGATCTATCCAAACTAAGCATCCATGATAAGGTTACCAGGTAAATCAGCCAAGGACAAAAACAGGTGTCTAAAAATGATGGATTAACTTCATTGTGATCATATATATTAACCAGATTTAATCGAACTGAGAAAATGTCGCACTGTATAATGAGGTATCTGCCTCATCTGTCTTCATCCACACTAATAAGATGAAAAGGCACAGAGTTGTGTAACAGTATAATTACTGCACAGCAGTGTGAGAAGCTGAGAATACATTCCCAGGCCACTTCCTCCTCACTTTGGTTACATCTTCAGGAGTCAAGTGCATTTCCTGAGCAAACACTATTCTAGCTTTAATTGTTTGATCCTTCTCATAAGGGGTGCACCGATAAATCGGCCGGCCGATCGATCGGCCCCGATTTCCTTAATTTAGGTTGATTGGTGATCGGCCGATATTTACATATGAAACCGATCTTAACCACCGATCTATTTACCTCCGCGAGTGTCTTAAAATCAGTTGCTATTCCATATTTTTTCTGATCTTTTGTTGAAGTTTTGTTTTTTGAAATGTAAAAAAATCAAAAGACCAATGTTGTAGTCTTAAGTTTGTTTTATTTAATTAATATTTATTATTTAATTCATTTCTATGTCAAGGCTCTACCTCATGGGCAGTTAAAACAAGTTTATAATGGTTCAAGGCTATTGTTCAAGGGCATGCTTTTCAAGAAAAGATTGTAACATTGACAGTGAATTGCGATCTTGCAACACAGTGTTGGTTATAGCAAAAAAAATTATAAAATCGGTATTAACCAAAAATCGGAATCGGCAGGTCAGACTTTTTAAAGATCGGTAATCGGAAATCGGCCGGAAAACTGCAATCGGTGCACCCCTACTTCTCATAACTGTCACAGTCTTGGTTCCCTTAAGTTTTCTTTTAAGTATTCATTTTCACTTAGATCCATGTTTTTCTTTGTTTTCTAGTTTTATTGGTTTAATTCCTATTTTTGTTGACGAGGTTCCTGAAAGGCTGAGACAGCAGGCGGAGGTGTGGACACAGACAGGGCTGAGGTTAATGGAAGAGCAGGAGCCTTAGCATGATGGCGCAGATGAACGAGGATCTCAGTTACTTCAGCTTAGAGCTGAGAAACCTTGTGATCTACAATCTTACGCCAAGAGTTGCCTGCGGATAGGTCCATGTTTGGCCAGATTATTCTTTAAGAACCGTAGAACCTTGGACTCAACGGATTCTCTGGTTGAGAGTTCAGTCTGATTCAGAGGGAGAGGAACCTGGGGGGCCGGAGATGTTCGCTGCTTGCTGCCATTACTGCATCAGAGTGCAGGGTGCAAGGGAGCTGGCGCCAGGCAAGCAACAGTGTCTGTGAGGGATCATCCAAAGCCAAAGTACAGTACAAAATAGTTTCAGAGACCAGGTGATCAAACAATCAAAGAGGTTTCCAAGGAGAGCACAAAGAAGGAGCATGGGTTGATGCTGGTTTTATATGGGGGCCTTGTGTTGTGTACAACGCTTGTAGGGGGGAAATGTGCCTTTGGTGTTTTAAAACTGGTGGTATTTTAGGCTTGCGTATTTATGGAAGAATTCGGACTTCATATTGTCTGTCTTATTCTTGTATGAGCTGAATATATATAGAGGTATATTTGTATATCTATAAAAAAAAAAAAAAAACACAAAAGCACCGAATAGACAAATTCCGTAACATAATATTTCCGATTCCGCAAACAGCCTTTAATTTTTCTGGCTTTTTTCCACTGTGAACAATGCTTTTGTTAAATGCATCTTCCTGAATGGGTACCGAGAGCTAAAAACATGCTATAGTGATTAAGGATTTTATCCATGTTCTTCCAGCTCGTTCACAGTCCAAAACCTCTTGCAGGGTTAATCAGAGATTCTGCTGCGACCTTTGGAGTTATTATTAGTATGCATGGTTGTGTGCAGCTCTGATGGACGGCATCGATCTGTCAAAGATGTTCTCAGCCTGGTGACAGCAGAAACACAAATTCTGCCTTTCGGACTATTTACCAGAAAAAAAAACATAGCAGCAGGAATTATACCTACTTTAATAATAAAAGCCTCGGATTTCTATTCTGCAATCGACAGTCATTTACATTTTAGACTAGCATGACTCGTCACAATAACTGAAAAGACTAAAATGATCCTTTTGAAGTAGGGATTGTCGTATGCAGCCTGGTGGATAATAACAGCTATTAATGAACAGTTTGGGCCGTTGTTATATTTTTGATAATTATGTATAAATCTCTGCAGTCAGAGTTATAACTTCAGAGGGATTTCTAACCTTTGTTCAACTAAAAGCATCAGTGAATTATGTGCCATCTAAAGGAAGGTAGAGCACCCTAAAATCTAGTAAGAGTAGAAAGGAGTCATCCAAGAAATGACTCAAGTTGGAATAAAAAAGTACTTTAAAAAGTTTACTCAAGTACCTAGGAACTGTTGGCTCATAATATTTGATTTAATCTCTAAAATGGTGTAATCAGACATAGAGGTCAAAATCTGGTATTTGAAAGTTATTATATTATTATTTATATTTAATCCTTCTGCTTCATTCTATCTCTATTCTCCCACTCTGCAGAACCTGTTAAATCCAGAATAGAATTTAAAATTCTCCTCCTCACATATAAAGCCTTAAATGGCCAAGCTCCATCTGATATCAGAGATCTGATTGTTCCTTATGTTCCTAACAGAGCACTTCGCTCTCAATCTGCAGGTTT